ATTCGAGCCATTTTTGTGACTCGCTCTTAATGGCTTTTTCTGAAAATTAATTTCTTAGCTATTAGAGACGTTTCCCAGTGGCCAGCAGCCCGGGCGCCAGACAGCCCCACATCCAAGGTCCCGCAGAGCCACAGTTTCAATTCAGCCGCACCTACAGTCTCTCACTCCCTCTTTCTCCACGACTCCTTCTCAGTCTCTCTCTCTCTCTCTCTCTCTCTCTCTCTCCCTTTCTCTCCCATTCGCTTCCTCCGCTTCTGTATATATTTTGTAATTACTTTATGTCTGAAAATTGCCGTTGTAAAATATTTTATTATTTGTTGGTCGGAGTTGCGCCCTCGCCACCCCCATTCGCCCCGCTAACCCCCGCTTAGTCTCTGTCGGTCTCTAGCTCAGGCTAGCTGCGTCTTTGAAGCTGGAGGTCTTGGCTGTGAGGCCGGATATTGCTCGTTGTTTGCTTTGCATTTGTTGTTGTTGTTGTTGTTCTCGCTGCTGCTGCTGCTACTGCTGCTGTTGTTGGCTATCGTAATCAATGGCCACTAATCAAATGAAGCGAGTCGCGTAGCTGCATGCACAATATGCGCCAGCCCTGCCCTCCCTTCGTTGCCCCTGCATTTCCGCTTCCTCGACAATTGGACCAGCCTCTGGGCAGAAACGGAACCGGGCCACTTTCGCCATGAGCCGGAAACTCAAAGCCAGAAGCCACGCCCCTACCTTCCGCCGTCCAAAAAAAAGGGACTCAAATTTCCACAACAAACCGAAAATTCGCTCAATCGAATGCGTCCACAGGGTGCCCCGGGCTATGAGCGATTCGAATTATCCGCGCGTTTTTTATGAACAGCGGGAAAATCGGCCAAGAATTCAATGCAGATCTCTTTATCTCTGAATTATCTGTAACGAATATTGAAAAAAATCTACCTACTCAAGTGCAGAAGACTTTGCTGAATTGGAATGCTTATCAAACAGTTGTGGTCATTATTAGGTTATATAAACAAAACTGTTATACTGTATGCATATTAGCCAACTCAAGTTATATATAAAAGAAAAAGTGTTATATATTCCTACTAATGAGCTTGATGATAACTGTTCTGTGTCATAAAGCTGTTATACTATCTTAAATACTACAACTAATAACTGTTATATTGACTGATGTACGTAACAAATTTTTTTATACTGTCGATTCTGTTATCAAATTGAAGACTGGTATATGTAAAGAAACGGTTATATTAATAATTATTTATCGCATTCGTTATTTGTTACATTAACTGTTATAATCTGAAAAGCAGTTAAATTGTTCATGTCACTGACTGTCATATTACATTGTATGGACGGAAAGACCGATAGACAGGCTTAATCGTCGCCTTGATCAAGAATATATATGCTCTACAGAGTCTAGCAGGCCTCTTCCTTCTGCGTGTTACATATAAAAATTAATTATACCTCGATTTCCCACTTCCAATGGGCTCAGGGTATAAGAGGAAAAACAAGATTAAATCTAATGCTGCTCTCTATAGCCCCCTTAAGTCATAGAGAATGAGACCCTCCCTCTCCATATATACGCCCCTCAGTTTATACATTACAAACAGATTCATGAACAACTAAGTTGGGAATATAAAACCAAATGGATTTATGCGTAAACCATTTCCATTTTAAATTATATAAATATTTTTCGAAATGAATTTTTATTCCTTGACACGAACCCCTGAGTCGGCAGTGAAAAAAGTAAACGTTGTCGTCTCATGTCGCATTTGGCTCTTTAAATATTCTGCTTCAATCTGCATGTCATGTGGATGACTGAGCGGCCTTTGAAGAGCAACTGCCCCTGTCTCCACCCAACCCAACCCAACCCAACCCAAACCAACCCAACCCCAACCAACCCAACCCCAGCCCAGCCTAAGCCATACCAATGGCAACAACAACAACAACAACAACAACATCAACAACTGAATGAGGTATAATAAAAAACCATTTTTCAAATAGTTTTACTAGCAAAAACTTGAAAATTGCTAAACATAATTGGCAGTTTTTGCATGGCCTGCGGGTCGCCGTTGCCTAAACAGAAATCTTTATGACTTTGCCTGCCTTTTGCTCCCCAATTGCATGTGTTGACTGCAGTGGATGGGGAGCCTGTCCGTTGGAGGGCTGACGATGGGGTGGGTGTGTGTGTGTGTGCTGGGGGCATGGTTCCTTATCCGGAGGCCGACATGTGCTCGCCGTTAGTTAGTTAGTTATAACCACATACAATTTTATGCAGACCATATTGTAAATGTTATAATTTTCACTAACAATTTTTGCCATGTGCCTCGCTGTGGGTGCAAATTCATGAAATACAAATGAGGGTGGCCAGGCGGCGGGGCTAGGTCTCCAAGGCGTGTTTCGTAGTCGGCTCCACAGTCGAGAAGTCAGCAGAGGTGCTGCCGGACGGGGGCGGGCGGGGGACGAGGACGAGGACGAGTTACTACATGGATGATGATAATTTTTAGCAACTTTTTCATGGCTAGTGGACAGAGTCCACCTTATCCCTGCAGGTCCAGCTTTAGCTATCTCCTTTCATTCGCTCTCTCCCTCTCTCTCTCTGTCTCGCTCTATGTCTGTCTTTCTCTAGCTGCTGCTCTGGCAGATGTGCACTTAAACGTGCTTCGGGTTTTAAAGTATTATTACATTAATGCTACATCCAAAAGCATTCGTGTGTGTGTGTGTGTGTGTGTCGGCGTTTTAATTTTTAATACCCTGTAAATGCAAGCTTGTAGTCTATTAAACGGCAATCTGCGAGAGTGACAATTAGAACGGTGCACTGCAATTAATATTGACATGAGATTTAATGGAAGACAACTAAGAGATTGCTAAAAGATGGCTGCTAACTCTTTACTGGAATATCTTATCTCTCAAACATAAATGTTTTTTATTCATTTTACCTATAATCCTGTTGGATTTATGTCTTATATTTTGTGTATACCCAATGTTATAATCATTAAAGATTTTTGCTTTTATTTTTTACTCAACTTGATTAATGATATATATATATATATATATTCTTTTTTTTTTTTATTATTTCTTTTAACTATTTTCATGATATTGAAAGTTTCTTATGCTTCAACTATTAAATTTGAATAAAATATATTTACTGTATTGAATCAAACATGATTTCGACTTTTACTGGCTCATAAAACTTTCAGTTCGTTTCATTTAGATTGCAGCTTGATGCAGGCAGTGCAGCGCTGAGTGCTAAGCATTGCATTTTTATTGCCTTGTCTCATGAATTTTGATGCTGATTTGTGGCATTCTTTTACATCGCAATTGTCAGATGGTTTCCTAATGGAGAGCTCTGAAATGCTGCACGGACTATTTGCGTGGCATTTTATAGGCGAAGCGTCCTTAGCGACCCTTAGCGACAGGCGCTTGTTTTTCTCAGATATTATAGCTGTCGCTATGCTAGCTTTTTATTTTTAAGTAATAAAATTTAATACATGGCTACATAGTCGCCTCACACACACTCACACACTCACACACATACTGGCATATATAAAGCCATTTATATGTATACGCACATTTTACTCAATTATAAAAGTTTCCACATTAAAAGTTCATTGCTGAGGCAGGCGAAGCGAGAGACGGCGCCGTCGACGTCGCTGCTGTTGCCGCTGCCATTGCCGTTGCCGTTGCCGGAGCATCTTTTCGGGTAGGGTTGCCATCATCGTGTGTTGGGTTAGGTCGTGCCCAGCGGCTATAACGGCTACGACTACGAGCAGAGTTGCCCTCTTCCTGCTGGGCCAGCCGCAGTCAGGCAGCCAGCATGGGCGACAACATCAAAGACAGAGTCAAAGCAAAACGTCTGGCCGTAAAAGTTGCTCTTTCTTTTTTTTTTTTTTTTTTTTTTTTTTTTTTTTTGTGGCCAACACAGGAAAAATTAAAAATGTTGTTGTAGTTGGTATAACAGTAGCTAAAGCAGCAGCATCAGCAGCACCAACAGCACCAACAGCAGGCAAATTACTCAGTCTGACCCTCTGGTACTCCAATGGTAATGTAATGCAATGTAATGTGCAGATACAAGAATGTGCTATAAAGCTAAAAAATAAAAATAAAAATACATAGAAAAAGAAAAAAAAATTTTAAACAAGAAAAAAAAACAGAGTAAAAACAACACTAAGCCATCAGAGAGTTGTAAAAATTGTTAAGTGATAGTAAAAAATATTTCATTTGTAATATAAATATAGCAAAGCATATATATATATATATATTATATATATATATATATATATATATATATAAACAAATATCTGACATGGCACTTGAGCTATGGGGCACGTCTAATTGGAATTCTGACTCGAGTGCTGACCTATTTTTAAACAATCCATGTGCATATCTGGGAAGCATGATTACTTTGTTATACTGGCCCCCAGCTAGTTTATGTACATATCTATTTTTAATGAGAGCTGTTATATAAACTGTTATACTTAGTAGAAAACCCTTTTCAAATAAGAATTATTTACTTTGAGTCTTCTTTTGCTGGTTTTCAAAGGTTAATTAAGACATATGCTGAAAACTGTTATACTCAGATCAATCAACATTTAGAATACGTTTATTTATGTGCACATATAATACTGTTCTATAATAGTACTGTTCTTATATCTGTTATACTAAACAAACAATAACTTGTGGCTTCGATCATATTATTTTTCATATAAACTCATCATAGGGATAATTAGTACAAATAGCCAAGTATAACTGAGTATATTACTGTTATACGTTTACACTGATATGCTGCTATACTGTTAGAGTGCTGTACTGTTGTACTGGTATACTATTATACTGATATGCAACTTTATTGTTATACTGTTATACTGTTGTACTATAATACTAATATACTGTTCTACAACTTAATTGTTATGGTCTGGAACACTTTATATATGCACACTTTCAGCAATTTCTTATTCGACTCTTATACTGTGCTACTTCAAATTTGTTATACTGTCATACTTATCCTTGCTCCCTTTTCATTACAGGCTATGGCGGCATTTCCCCCCGCACTCAGTGGGGCCGCGTGGCAGCTCTCGTCTACGCCCTTTTCGGCATACCCATCGTCTTGCTCTATCTGTCCGCCATGGGCGAGGCCCTCTCCACGGGCATGCGCTGCCTGTTCCGCCGGCAGCGCGTCAAGGGCAGCGTCGCCAGTGGCCCCACGCCTGGCCCCAGCGGCAGCCGCAAGCCAGACAAGGCCAAGGGCCAGCAATACGGCCACCCGGGGACTGGCAAGATCCACCAATATGGCGTGCCGCCCTCCGTCTACCAACAGCAGCAGCAGCAGCAGCAGCAACAGCAGCAACAACAACAGCAGCAACAGCAACAACAGCAGCAGCAGCAGGGAGCCAAAACCGCTCTGGATGGCTCGCCCAGTGTGCCGATCTCGATCTGTGTGTGCGTGCTCGTCTGCTATGTGACCAGCGGAGCGATATTGTTCCACAAGCTGCAGAGCTGGAGCGTGCTGGAGTCGCTCTACTTCTGCTTCACCTCGCTGGGCACCATCGGCTTCGGCGAGCTGGCACCCAGCGGCACCCTGACATTGTATACGGCCTCCGCTTACATATTGGTCGGCATGGCTGTGGTGGCCATGTGCTTCAGCCTGATACAGACGGAGATTGTTATGTGGCTGCGTCGGTTCAGTGTGCAGGATCATGTCACGCCCAAGGTGGAGGAGCTGGCTCTCGTTACGGTGGCAGTGACGCCGAAGCCCTCCTGACAACGACCCAGCGCCGAGATGCTGGGCGCCAGCGGCAGCGCCGCCCTCGGCACGGGCGCTCAGTCTCAGGCCAACAGTCTAGGCCAGCATCAGACCATGTTCTTTGGCCCGGCGCACACATTGACCCAGTACAGCTCGCTGCCGCGTCGCAGCCACCTGCATGGCGGCGTCGGCGGCGCCTCCTCCTCGGCGTTCCAGCGGAACACACCCATACGCCGCTCGACCGGCATACCGGAGCACCACATGGAGTACTTTGTGCCGCGCAGCATAAGCGAATTTAATTTGTCCGGCGTTGGCGACCTGGCGCTGCCGCCGCCGCGCCGCTTCTCGCCCAACATGAGCGGCATGGGCATGCCCATGGGCATGGGCGTCGGCGTCAACATGGGCGTCAATATGGGTGGCATGGGCATGGGCATGGGCATGCCGCACGGCCTCCAGCTGGGGCCGCCCCAGACGCTGCTCTGTGCCGCCAGCACCCCATCCGCCCCGCCGCCAGCCCAACTGCAAATTGTGACCCTCAAGCCGCGCAGCGAGAAGATGGTGACGTTCGAGGATGAGTCCAAGTCGGCTGCTGGGCCTGGAGCTGGGGCTGGGGGTGGTACACATTGTCCGCACGGCGTGCCCACCACGCCGCGCAAGTCGAGCGGCGCCACCACGGCGGACATGTTCATGTGACCAACCACCTGACAGACGGCTGGAGCGGATCTGCAGCCACGCCCCAATGCCAGCGACAGCGTCGACGACGAGCTGAATGCGGCGCTGCGATTGCGGGACAGCATCGACGATGCCCTCTGCCCGAAGCAGGCCCCAGGTGAGGTGATACGCGTCTAAGCCACGCCCACCGGCTCGCACTGTAAGTATGTGCACAGAGAGCGAGAGAGATGGAGAGGGACAGATAGTGGGTTGGCTAATTAGGTGCACAGATCAACTACAACTACAACTACAACAACAACAATGAATGAATGAAAGCTATCTGAAGCACAGCAAGAGTCTGCGACTAGCGGATACCCTGTAGCCCATTACGTGAGGTATGACAATGCGTTCGCCACACGGATCAAGCAGGCATATACTTATATAAATACCCATATATAAATATATATATGTATATATATATATATATATACTATATGTATATACGATTCGCGGAAGACTTCTATCACATGACTATATTATACCCGCTTTAGTCCATTTTAAATGGTAACAGGGTGTAAGGCAAACAAATAAGGAAAACATTTAACGCCTGTTGTAAATATATATACAGAATAATCAAAACAAATAATTATAAAAACATACAATTATTAAAATCCGCGTGTAAAAGCAAAAAAGACAACAAAATGAGAAAAAAAAGAAGAAAAAAACATATTTCAATTCGCAATACAAAATGAGAGAAAAAAAATAAATAAATAATTGAACGAGTGAAAGAGAAATTAATAAATGTGTGCAACATGCGACTAAAACAATGAATAATAAATAACTGCACAATTCCGAAATGCAAATGCAAAACAAGACAGATTCGATGGGTGGAGAGGGAGGGTGGGGATGGATGTAAGGTGAAAGGGCAAGGGTTAAGCACAGTCCGCCTCATCGGGGGCAAACAGCATGCAAATTGCAAAATGCAAAATGCGAAATGACAAATTGTGCGCACTCCGAAAATGGCAAAGTTTATTTAAGCGATTTGTTCGCTTGTTCGTTTCGTTTCGTTTGTTTGTTTGTTTTATTTGCTTTGTTTATGTTCTTTTGCTTTTGTTTATTGTTTAATTGATGTGCAGCATTTGAATTTGGTTTGAATTGAGCTGAGCAGCAGCACTCGCTGCATATCCAGGTGTTTCGTATAACAGTTTAGCTGCTCTGCTTTAACCATTTCAATTTGCCAATCAAATAAAATGAAATGAAATAAATATCAACAATTCAATTCCATTTGCCACTTTAATAGCCCAAATGGCTATTGGCAGAGCATTAAATCAATTCGCTGCTCTTTTACCATAATCCAAACATATTTTGTACTAAACGAACTCTGATCATAAATAGAACTAATAAATTCACTCTGTGCAGGGTAGAGACGGGAGTATTACGCCAGCGGCCATAGCCGACTGTAATAATTTGCATTAACATGTGTCCTAATTAAGCCAACCAATTGGCCAAATGCTTGCTAATTACGAACTAAAACCCATTAAAAGCGAAACGAGCAAACCGAACGGAGCGAGTGCCATCAATTATCGATGCTGAATAAAATTTGGATCACTTTGAATATTTGATTTTTTATTGACATTTTGGCCATTTGTATATTGCTTATTTTTATATTTTATGCGCTTAATACTCCTTCTCGAAAGTGAATTGGGTATATTGGTTTTGTGCAATGTCCACCCGACTGTCCGGCTGTCCTGCTCTCTGTCCGTCTCTTTCTCTCTCTCTCTCTCTGTCCGTATAAATGCCAACCATTTCGCGGCTATTGAAACCAGATACTTAAAGTTTGTACCGTGAATGGGTATGCTTCAGTCGGTGCCGCCCGACTGCCACTTGCTTTTTTTTTATTAAATTAAATTTAGCGATTTGTTGGCATTGTTGCTGGCCATGTTGCTCGTGTGCTACGGCAATTAGGCTTAAATGCTTTTTAAATGTATTTTGATTGCCGGTAATTGAGCGGGCGAACGCCAATTTTTTATTTGGCATTTGATTGGGGGCTGCCAACTCGTTTTGCTTCCATTTCGGTAACGCGCAATTTGTAACTCGAGGCTGTCAACTGAGTGTCTCACTTGATTTTTGCTTTTAATTGAAAATAAATTAAATTTGAACACCCAAGCAGGCTCTAATTGTGTGCATGCGAGAGAGAAAGAGAGAGAAAGTGTGTGTGTGTATGCATGTTAATTTTTTCCACATTCAATTTGTGGCTTTAAATTAAAATAATCGAATAGTAGCAGAAATGGGATAAAAACTAACAACAACAAAAATTCAATAAAAATTACAAAAAAAAAAAAAATAAATAAAAATAAAAAAAAAATAAATAAATAACGTCGCTTTAAATTTATGGGTTGTGGCACAAACAGAGAAACAAATGAAATGAAGTGGAAAAAAAAAACTAAATAATAATAATAGAGAAATCTACTAAAAAGCGCATTGTTGCATTCTGTTTGTTATATATTGCAATTGTGTCATACTGTCATACTGTCATACTCACTTACAAGCCAAATAGCAAACAATGCAAACTGAAAGCGAAAACCAAATATTTAACATAAGTTCATGTAATTACGATTAAGCCCTACTTCAAAGTAAACTCTTTAATACTATATCAAAACAAAAGAGGGAATTACAAAAACAAAAAATAATAATATCCAAAACAAGAAGGAAAAAGTTAAAAGTAAATAAATAAATAAGTAAGAAATACCACTAAAAACCACTAAATAGTAATGAATACGTATAAAAAAGGAAAACAAGAAGAAATCAAACTAAATAATTAGATACGAATTCTTTTTTTTTTTTTTTTTTGATCGATTTCTAGTTGCATAAGTCAAACTTTAGCATTTAGGATCAACTAAATCTAGTCTAAACATAATAAATTTTAGTCAACCAATATATGTAAATGTTAATTAACTGACCGTTGAGGGCATTTACATCTATGTATAACAGTTTATGTAATATGCAAGTATCTAAATATATACAGAAATACTATGTGTGTATAACAGTTTTTGATGTACGATACGCGCTACGCGAATTCTCATATATATACATACATACATGTGTGCATACATACATATATATAAACATGTTTTTTTTGTGTATTACAACAATAAAGAAAAAACTCATATTGAATGTAAAAGAAAAACCAAAATGAACAACCAAGAACAAAAAAACAGAGTTCGCATCATATATATATATGTACTATATATATATATATATATATATATATATATATACATAAAATAAATAAATCATAAACAATTTAGTCAAAAATCTGAAGTGTAACCAAATGTGTTTTATTGAAGGGTTTTCCGCATTTTCCATATAGATGAATGATTGAAGCTGATGATGATCAATGCAATCTAGCATTTTTATGTTATACCGTAAGTCTTCCCTTGGCAATTATTTGCTATAAAACGGAGCAATTTATATTTGAAGTAGTGTAGCAACTATTATTATCTATAGTTTACGCGGGTATTAATTTACAAACCAGACCTTAAGTCACAACATTTACTTGATACATAACCAATGTAAACACGGCTGAGTGTAGTATAGAGTATATGGATGTACCTATACTCTGTAATTATACGCGGTAGAAATCCACGAGCATAGGTAAAAGTCATTTGATAATGTAATTTACATGAGAGAGAGAGAGAGAGAGAGAGAGAGAGAGGGAGAAATAGAGAGAGAGATAGAGAGGAGAGTACAACATCTCACATGAGTCTTCAAGCCGCTCTGAGTATAGAGATAAGTGATTTGTTAAGAATGGAAAATAAGAGGCGACTATCAGCTCAGAATGGATCACTGTAGAGCCCTATAGTGATTCATTCTCTAACATAGCTCACTGCTAACTGTTGACTGTTTGCAAGTAGGTATATTTTACTCACACTCGTGTGTAGAGTGCACTCTAAGGGAAAGTCAGACAGCTATTGAGTGCGTCGGCTCTTCTAGATCTGCAAGAAACTTTTCGCTGCGCTCTGGGTTTTCCCAGAAAGTTCGATTGAGTTCAATGAAACAACTTTTGTGTATATGTACCTCATGGTTATGTAGGCACGGGCTGTGTTCGCTAAACACATCGATAAGGGTATGTGTATTGAGTGTATGCTCATGTAAATGAATGTGAAAACCGTTCGCATTGGCTTTGTGAGTTAAAATATCGTCACACGAACAGTTCAGCTCAAGGCCTGCAACAGAGAAGAGTAACGAAGACAACCGAAGTGCCTTGCTCAGAGCAAGTGGGAGATTAAAGAACCAAACGGTCAACTATTTTTTAGAAGCTATGTCTACCAATAATATTGGGTAGTCTAAAAAGTTTTTTCGTATTTTGCCAATAGATGTCGTTGGCGTCGTATATCTCCAGTGCTACCAATCACATTGTGTACACATTGTGGTGTTCGATTGGTAGCACTTTAAGCTTCGATTGCCAAAAAAAAAAAATGTAATTCAAAGAATTTGAAAAAAGTTACAGCTGTTCAAAAATGAGTGAAAATAAAGAAGAAATTCGCTATATTTTGAAATTTTTGTATAAAAAAGGGAAGAATGCCACGCAAGCCACTAATGAAATTTGTGATGTTTACGGTGACGATGCTCTATCAGTTCGTGTAGCACAACAATGGTTCGCACGCTTCCGTTCAGGAAATTTCGATGTGAAAGATGCACCTCGCTCTGGTCGACCAATCTTTGAAAAAGTCGATGAAATTATGGAAAGGATTGACCAAGACCGTCACATAAGCAGCCATGACATCGCAAATGAACTAAACATTCATCATCAAACGGTTCTGAACCATTTAGAAAAGGCTGGCTAAAAAAAAAGCTCGATGTATGGATACCACATGAATTGTCTGTGAAAAATTTATTGGACAGAATTAACATTTGCGATTCTTTGCTGAAACGAAATGAAATCGAACCATTTCTGAAGAGAATGGTAACAGGAGACGAAAAATGGATCAAATACGACAATAATGTGCGAAAAAGATCATGGTGCAAGAGTGGTGAAGCTCAACAAATGGTCGCAAAGCCAGGATTGACGGCTCGAAAGGTAATGCTGTGTGTTTGGTGGGATTGGAAAGGAATAATCCACTATGAGCTGCTTCAGCCTGGTCAAACGATTGATTCGACACTTTACTGTGGACAACTGATGAGATTGAAGCAAGCAATCGAAAAAAAACGGCCAGAACTGATCAACAGAAAGGGCATCGTATTCCATCAGGACAACGCCAGACCACACACATCTTTGATGACCCGGCAAACACTGAGAGAGCTTGGCTGGGAAGTTTTAATGCATCCACCATATAGCCCTGACCTTGCACCTTCGGACTACCATTTATTTCGGTCAATGCAGAACTCCCTTAACGGAGTAAAGTTGGCTTCAAGAGAAGCCTGTGAAAATCACTTGAAGCAGTTTTTCAAAGAGAAACCACGAAAGTTTTACACGAATGGAATTATGTCTCTAGTGGAAAAATGGCAAAAGGTGGTCGACCAAAATGGTGCATATTTGATTTAATAAAGTTTATTATAAATATTTAAAAATATGATTTGAAGTTTCATTACAAATACGAAAAGACTTTTTAGACTACCCAATATATTCATATTATAAAGAATTCTGAC